TCATCATCATCTTCATCATCATCATCATCATCATCATCATCATCAGCATCCGAATCATCACCATCCGAATCATCATCATCATCATCATCATCATCATCGTCATCATCTGAATCATCATCAACAGCCGCAGCAGCAACATCAATCTGATGATATGTTGCTAAATGATAACTCGCGATAAATAACCAAGGTTTGTTCACAGGTGCTTTAAACTCTACTCTGGTGATGTGCTACACAGTCTTCCTTCTGATTGTGACACAGATTTCAGAAAGTCAGTTTCTTTCCCCACCTGGAGCACCTGTTGTGATGTAGTGAAATGATCGCAGGAAAACATCTTAGAATTGATTGGTTTGAACTGAATATCTTTCAGACCTCACCTTCACGCACAATTCTCAGTTCATTGCTTTAACCATACACTCAGAAGCACTGTAGACTCGAGTTTCACTCTCATTATAATTATGTATGACTGATGAGCTCTAATAAGAACGACACTTGAGTCTCGGTATTCCAAGTGTATGTTTGATTGGATTAACTGAGGATTGTGCATGAAGGTGAAGTCCGAAGGATAGGCAGTTCAAATCAATCAATATCAGTTATTCTACACCACTAGTCACAAGTAACTATGAGTTAAATGGGAAACATGTTAGAATTTCGGGATTTGTATGTTTCTTGCTCAAATTTGACATGAAAAGATAGAAAACGTCTGATTCAAACTCTAAAATATCAATGATGCATCATGCCTAATATNNNCCGAGAATAGCTGCTTTATCTGACCTTATTATTACGGAACTTTGATCCAAATTCGGAAGTTTCAATTAATGTAAATTTGTCGAAACACCAGTGTGCCATACGGCATGCTAATTAGTTACTTCGGGGTGTATTTGGTAGCCAGAGCACGTTCAAATGCCAACCCTTTCCTATCAAGTTTGCGCACTTCAGTGCCTTTCCACAATCGATTCAGTCATTTAGTTTGCTAAACCGATCTCTTACTCAAATCCCCCCTCCCAACTTGACAGTTGTGAATTAGGCTTCATCATCGAAAACCGGCATCTCACGAATACCTGCTAGATGTTCACATTTTGTTTATGATTACTAAATATAGAAGTAGAAGGTCAATTCCACGGTAAATGGAGCGATAGTGTCAAAAACGTTCGTGCGCATGAAACAAGGTGATGTAATCGGATGAGCTACTGTAATGGTAATGGAGGTAGTAGTAGTGAAGTTACGTACAGAATTCAGGACACGAACTACGCAATAGGAATCACGGAACACGAATAAGAAAACCGATGGCACTG